TGGAAGGTGGCAAACACTTTACAACACATCCTTCTCCTCCAGAGATTCTTCCACATTTTGTAACCCTTTTCACTACTTTTTTGAGCAAGGATGATGAAATACTACATTTTAAGGGACAATTGCAATAAAAACTTGTGTGATTCAGCTATTGCCCTGTACAGACTTGTGGCTGCATAAGACAAAATATAGGCAGGCATTGTAAACACCCCCCCCACACAAAAAAAGACAAGTGAAAAGACACCCTCTTTCTTCCACTAAGAAAATGGGAGAAAGTTTTCTTTACAAGGAGGTATTGGACCTGGAACTATACTAAGGCATCTTCCGCTGTCTTTGTGGGAGGATTAGAGCATCTTTCACAGGAGGTCTTTCCCCCCCAGAAGTCTTCCTCTCTCCCTTTTTATGAGTTTCTCTACATGGTGGATTTCATCTGCTGCTTCACTGAGGCTTCTTTTCATTGTAGAAGGAAAAATGCATCTTTTATGTGGGATTTCCCCCTTGGAGTTTATTTGTCTGCTTTGGCACATATTCCATTAACCAAACACAAGGTGGCACTGTGGTATAGCAGAACTGCAACAACATATGAGGTTTTTGTTTCAGTTTGAATTGTAATAACTTATTATCTTTCTCCTTTTCTTTAAACACACAAAATAGGCTCAAAAACACAGGAGTGGTCCTGGAAGATGCTGATACACATGAAAAGAGGAGGAAAAGTGGGGGTCAGGTCCAGGAAGAGGGAACAGGTGTCTATGGCAGCAGCACCAGGATGGGAGTGGTGGAAATTTCAGCACTGAGGTGGCAGAGACAAGCAGGGGTTGGCCACCTGGCAAGTCTGAGCCAGACAAGAGTCAGGGGCACCAAACAGCCACCAAAAAGGCCCCTTGGCTATGGCCAAGCTGAACCGGGCAGGCAAACTTTCTCTAGAGCTTCCCAAAGCTCCCAGCTGCACTGCACGATTGCACAGGCTCCGATCCTGCCGGTGTCTACAGCACTGTCCTGGTCCTGCAGGCACTTGTGGGATGAGCCATGCTGCCTGGCCCCAGGGGAGCGAAGCCCCAGCCTCGGATCCTAGCGGTGGGGATGTGCTCCTGCCAGGGTCAGGGGAGGGGTGGTTTAAAGTAGACAAAACAGTCCCTAATGGTTCCAATCAGGTATTGTTCTTCTTTTTACACCTGCTCTCTCCTGACTTGGGTGTGAGCCTGGCATGCCGGGATGACTAAGGAGAGGGGAAGTGTGCATTGCTGCCCCTGGATTGCCAGGCCCAGGACCACACGTGCTGATACTCAAGTGAGCAAGCCAGGCGAGCAGAGCAGAGCACTGATTGGCACTTTGTGTGCCCCAAAGACTAGAATCCTATACAATCTGCTTACCTATAAGTAAATCTCACTGAACTCAATGGGTGCTTCTATGAGTAGACCTGCATAGGATTATGCAGACACAGGTTCCATTTGCGCCTCCTTGGGAAGCAACCTGGGACCAGAATGGAAAGAACAGTTTTTGATGGAAGGAAAGGAGAATGTAATTTCTCAGTTTCATAGCCACTCAATAAGTTTTGCCAATTTTCCAGCCATCTGCTAGCAGTATATCTTCCCTGACTGAGGACATTTATCTGCCTTTATTATTTTCTAGATCCATTTCACTGGCTGCTCCATGAACCCTGCATGGTCTTTTGGCTGTGCTGTCATAATAGGGAACTACCAGGATCATGGGGGAAGTGGATCCTTCTGCCTTCCATCTGGCACAGGTGGGGTGAAGCCATCTAAATGAGATTCACTGTACCCAGAAAGCACCACCCTGCTTTAAGGAGGTAAGGGCAAAAAAGGGACACTCCTGCTTTAGTTTTCTTGCTTTCTAAATCCTGATTTGGGCCAGAATTCCAGTGCTCCGCCCACCCTGAAAAAAGATGCAAAGAGGAGGAACACAGAAACAGACTGAGTCAGAAGGGGGCCTCCTGGGCCATCTAGTCTGACCCCCGGCTCCAGCCAGCTCTGCTCATGACATGCCTACCATGTGCATGTCCAGCCTATCCTTGAACACCTTCACCACTGGGCTTCAACCACCTCCCGTGGAAGCCCATTCCATGCCCTAGGGGTCCTATCCATCGGGAAGTACTTCCTGGCTTCCACCTTGAATCTTGGTTCCCTGAGCTTTGCTCCAGAGAGAAGTGCTGTATCAGTTTCAGAGCCTGATGTATGGATGAATGGCTGATACATTAATTAGAAGTGTACAAACAAGACTCCATTCTTGTTGGGACCCGTCTTAATTAAAATCAGTTGCTTATGAAGTACGAATGCGGATAGTGATATATGAGCTGGGGACTTATCTTAGGCCCTGTTTAGTCCGTTATCCTGGGATAATCGCTCCTGAATGCACTTCAGCCTCTGAATTGCTTACATGTTCCAGTGATGGATTAGAAGCCAAGGTAAGGTGAGGAGAAGTCAGCCAGCCATGGCAAGATCACAGCTCTCAGCTCACCTGGGATAAGCATGCGCAGAACCTTTGGGGGCTCGGAGTTCACAGGAGCACAATGACTGCGGGAGCTATTCAGGTCCTGGGGTGGCCGACGCACCATGAAAGGCCTCGCTCTTGTAAACAAGGGATGAGGAATGTGTTGCTCTCCACGTGTTGGATTCCAACTTCCATCAGCCCCAACCAGGCATGATGGGCATTGTGATGACATCTGTAAGGACATGTGCTCCCCAAACCTCTTGCAAACAAAAATGGTTGACTCATGAAAATAAGCCTGAGGTGACAACCTCTGGATCTGGGGTCGGAGCCAGATTTAAGCTGGGTCAGCTATCCTGGCAGAAATGGACTTCTACGCCCCTTTCTTCCCACAGCCCCCCTCCAGCCTCCTGAAAATGCCACTTGGAGGAGCCCCCACTGAATAGGATGGTGGGAGGGAGGGGGGAAGCCCAGAATTGGATCAGGGCCACCAAAAGCCCAGGATTGGGTGAGCCTCAGTAGGCCTCCTGAGCTCCTTGGGGTGAATCTCCCGACTGGCCTCCGAAGCATCCAGCTTGGCTTGATCAGCAGGCCACTGGAGGGCAGCCCAGCGTGAGCACTGAGACTGTAACTCTCTAGGCCGGAATTATTGGCCACTGCGGGGCAACCCAATTTCATCCAATTTCCGGCCTGCTGTATTTATCCACGTCCACATGGGTGGAATATCAGTGAAAGGATAGGCCTGAAATCAGCCACACTGGCTCAATTCACAGCCTGACCCATGAGGGGGCCTGTCGAGCCCCATGGGGCAAAATTCCCACCATCAATGGCCATGTGCAACCTTTGCCTAATCCTTAACCCCAACCTTGACCTGCTGGTAGGACATGGCATGCCTCCCAGGGCCTGTAGGGCGACTCTCCAGGCCAGCTGCCAAAGCATCCAACTAGGCTCGCTAGGTGGGCCTTGGCGGGCCTCACCAGCCCAGCAGGGTGCCTTTCCAAACTGGCGGCCATCATGTCTGGTTTAGCCGGATCGGTGCCCTGACCCATGGCTGGGCCTCAGTGGGCTTCCCTGGCTTCATTGGGTGACTCACTGGAAGGCAGCTGCTGGGTCCAAATTTGCTCGCTTCGCGGCCCTGATCTGCAGGTGGGCCTTGTCACGCTTGCCAGGAGCCATTCAGTGACGCTTCCAATATTCCTCCCTAGTGGCCCCAACCATAGGTGGGCACCAGAGAGCCTCCCCAGCCCCACAGGGTGACACTCCAGGCCTGCCGCTGAAGTGTGCAGTTGGGCTCTCTGGGCAGCCCGGACCCATTGGTGGACCTTGATGGGCCTTTCTGGCCCATAGTGTGACTCTCCTGGCCGGCCACTGACCCCTCCAGTTTGGCTCTCTCGTTGGCCCTGACCCACAGGTGGGCCTCAGTGGGTCTCCTGGCCCTATTTGGTGACTTTCCTGCTGGTCACCAGTGAATCCAGTGCTGTCCACTCGATGGCTTTGCCCTGGCCCATGGATGGGCCCTGGTGGTCTTCCCCAGCGGGGCGCCTCTCCCACCAGCTGCTGACACATCCCCTTTTGCTTGCTGAGTGGCCTGGCAGAGAAGCCTTCCATGAGTGGCGCTCCTCCTCTCAAGGGAGGTGGCTCTGGCATCCAGCTATGCTCAACGACCGCGACTCCCATCAGGTCTGCCCCTGCTTTAGACACTGCCGAGAAACTGTGCCTGCTGCATTTCCTCTGAACCGCTCAAGAGAACCTCAAAGGCAGAGAATGCTGCCCTGCTCCTCGCTTGCCGCTGCTTATCCTCCATAGACTTAGCACCTCCCCATTGGCTTAGAAGAAGCAGACTCATTTTGAGTCTGCTACCGGCAGTTGCATGATCTACAGGGAGCTGTTCAGATGTTGTTGGACTACAGTTCCCATCCTCTCTGACCACTGGCCATGTTGGCTGGGGCCGATAGCAGCTGGCATCCATCTGGTTCCCCCATGTGAGAGGTTCCATTTGATTTGCAAAATACCGAGTTTGTTTTTTGCTGTGTTTTGATTTCTGCTCTTCCATGCGGGACCTTTATTGGGTGGCACCCTGGCTTCCCTGACCTGCCACTGTATCCTTGTTCCTGATACGAGAAGTGTCTCCAAGAGGACTGAAAGGGACCTAATAACCTGAAGACGACTGGGTGGCACAGAATGACCCGGCGCACTCTGCAGAAGAAGACTAGCGGAGAAGTTCTGCTGGCGCAGAAGGCCCATGGGAGTAGGCAAGGATGAGATGGTTCCGCATGGCCCCCCAATGGACAAAAAGGACAAAGGAAAACTCCATCCTACCGCCATATTTATCTGTGCATGCACATCCGTGCTGCTGTTATTAAATTTCACTTACACGCTACCCTTTTTCCTCTTGTGAGAAGCCCGAGGCAGCTTACACAGCTCCATTCTATCCTCACAAGAACCCTGTGAGATTGGTTAAGCTGAGAGTGTGTGACCAGCTCAAGCTCACCCAGCAAGCTTCAAGGCCAAGTGGGGACTAGAACCTGGGTGTCAAAAAAAAAAAAAAATCAAATAGGAAATGAAACACATAACAAAGAAAGAGCCACACAGGAGGATAAAAGTGGCATAGTGACAGCGCCCTCTCCTCCTGCAGCCATGCAGCTTCCCAGTCCCTGGAGCAGCCTCTCCCTCTTGCATGGGGGAAGGCTGGCTTGCTCTCTCTCCCCCTCTCTCCTTTCACGTCCTTTCTCATAATCCACTTATTTAATGAAGCCTTTGCTTTTCTAGCCTAGCCTTCCCCTTAAATTCATCTCCAGTGGCACCTGATCCATCTACTCCCACTTCTCCTTTGCAGGGATGGAGTGCTGAATTTGGGGGGGGGGGGCTCTCGTCAGCACTGCCCCACTTAGCTTTGTTCCCAAGGAGAAGCCAGAAATGGCAGGGGGCTGCCTTGCACCCTCTCAGTAAACCAGTTCAAGGAGTTTTTGTCTCCACCTTGCATACCCAACCAAATATTTTACATGACAATACAGAACGATAACTGGTTGCTAGGAAAATACATTTCTCCGCAGGTAGGGCCAGAATTGCACCTCCACCTCGAGGAAGTAGAGAATGCCAAGGAGGGGCAGATGATGGCATCGACCCCGCCGGTGAAAACATACGGGGGTTGTGCCTCTGTGAGCCCCAGCTCCACTCCATCACTGCTCATTCCCCTCACGACTTTCTTCCTCAAAGAGAAACAGGCACACATCAACACACTTGAAACAAGAACCTCAGTTTGACTGACCTGGCTCCCAAGACGGGAAACGTTCCTGCAAAAGCAATTTGCAGCCGGGCCAATGAGACCAGTCACTAAAGTAGATTTTCATCTGAATTGCACGGCATTCCGCATCTGTAGGCATACCGTGCCACACACTCTGGCTGCAGAGGGAGGACAGAGGTGGAAAGCAGTCAAGGAAAAGTCCCATTTCCTTAATTACACTAAGGAAAATGGTCTGCCATTTTCTGGTAACAGGAGCTAAGCTGAGAAGGCAGCAGGTGCATTTGTGGCCAGAGATAAATGCCTTCAGTCTGAACAGTCTTATTTTCTTGGGACCTCTTGTGCTACCTGGGGGTGGCGGGGTAGGGGGGATTTCTTTTCCATGTGAAACCAGTTTCAATAAGATGTTGCCATCGTAAGAAAAATCTACAAAGCAGGAATTTATGCTGTAAAATGGGACAGATCAAGGAATAAATGAAAGTGAAAACGCAAACCTGCTTTCCCTATTGCCTACCTATGGATTTTAGGAAGGCCTATATTTATGTTTCAGGGCCGCTCTGAATCATATTGGGGTGGAGAGTTTGTCTTTTTCATAGATGGAGCAGTATCTTGTTGAAACTTCATTGCCCTTGTACGATCCTGGGTGTGAAAAGAACACGGAGTAGTTAAAAAGATTCACATCTATTGCACTGACAGTGAAATCTGGAAAGTCTTAACTGCTGTGAAAATACAGACTGGACTTTGACCCCCCAAATGGAAATTTTTGCAGAATATGACTGTGAGTGGGATGGGATGGGATGGTGCAGGGCTAGTTAACCCATGTGCATGTATGAGAGAGCAAGACAAGGCCAGGTAGGCAGGCAGGCTGGCCAGCCCTGCGCGCGCGCGTGCGCGCGCACACACACACACACACAGAGCAGAAAGCAGCCCCAGTTGTGATCCTTATATACAAGCACAAAGCATTTTCTTGGCTACTGTCTCCTAGTCAAACACCCATTAGATACTCAGAAGATGTATGGACTAAGGTTCCCACTTCTGTTTTACTGGCATTGCTCCTGTGATTTGAGCACAAGTGAAGCATCTTCTACCATTTATCATGTTGCCATTCAACACTTCAGCTGCTGAACTTGCATGCCAGGAAATCTAACCAAAGAGCCAAAAATAAGATGACAAGAGTAATACAGATGGTATGGTAATAGCAATAATTACAGATACAGTAATAGTAATGATTACAGATATAGTAATAGTAATAATTACAGATGCAGCGGAGCTGGAGGAGAAAGGAGCTCTATTTCTGTGCTCCGTTTGCACAGAAATTCTCCCGTCTAATGCGGCTGCTCTCCAGAGAGTCTGGGCCACTCCTTGTCCAGGACAAGGGAACACAGCCGTCCGCAATGGCAGCACTTTTACAGGCTGTGGGGCTAGGAGAGGGAGAGCTGGGTTCAAGGCCCAGCTCACTGAGTGGACTCAGGGCAGTCATTCACTCTTTTAGTCTAGCTTACCTCACGGGGGTGCTGTGAGGAAAAAGAGGCAGTGGGGAGAACCGCAAGTCATCCTCGGCTGCTCTGGAGAATGAGGAAAAAAGAATAATCGTGGTGCGATCCTGCACTTTCCTCTGACCCTGGTGCTCGGACTCTCGAGACCAAGTCCTTGCCCTCCCTCCTGTGGCCAGCACAGAAGAAAGGCAGCCGCCGCCACCGCCGCCGAGGAGGAAAGACAGGCGAGCTGTGGCCACAAGGTCGTGCCAATCCCCTTCGCCAGCCCCTCTATAGAGACAGCTGAAAATGGCCTTCTAGATAAAATGCAGGGCACACGGTGTGCAGCAGCACTTTGGATGCTTCCAGGCTTCTGAGCATCTGCCATGAGGGTGTCAGCATCAGCCCCAAGTGGTTTAAGATAAATGTTGGGGTACCCACAGAGACAGCATCAGAATGGGGTTCAGTCCATTCCTCTGCCTCGGACGAGGGTCTGGTTTTGTTTCCTCCCGGCTGAATAGAGGAGCCATGCCTTTGTCCCTTGCTGTTGAGAAGGAGCCACTGGAAACGGAGGCAGACGCTATCAGGACGGCCCCACACCAGGAGTGGTTCGGTGGTGCGATGCAAGAGGGCAATGACATACTCCAGGGACTGGGCACCGGTGGACAGATAAGCCTGTGGTCTAACCAAACTATCAGCTAACATAATCAAAGGCATGCTGGCAAGTTTTGGGATCAGGTTTTCCTGAACATTTTCATTTTAGAAACGTGAAGCCCCGGGGGGGGGGGGGGGTGGGGGGAATGGGGGGGGTTCAATTCCACCTCCCAAAAACTGTTCTCCCCAAATGTTTTGCGACAAACGAAGGATTTTCCCCTGGTTTTTTTCTATTCTTTTCCAGGGGCTTCATGACTCTTCTCAAGTCACAGTTATGCTCTCAGCAGGGCCCAAGGAGCAGCTGAAGAAAGGCTCTTAGGCCTTTTTTAGGCTTTTTAGGCTTGAGCTCCTGGAAGCACAACCCACAGCAGAAGCCCTCGGACAGCTGTTCCTTCAGCCACAGGGAGGCTGCTTTGTGCCACAGAGAGCAACTTCTTCCGCAAGTGCCTCGGACATCTGGATCAGAAGCGTGCTGGTGTGAAGAGATGCCAATGGCTTCAGCGGACACCCATCCAAGTGGCCCCAGTCCTTGTTGGATGTAAAGTAGCCAACACCTGCTTTTTGGATCATGAGCAATCATGCTGTTAACCTGGAAAAATCGGCCAAGGGCCCTTTCAGCAGCAGCAGCAGCAGTTCGGTTTATTAGTACTTTCCTCTCCCTTTTTGAATCGTTTTGCATGACAAAGCCAATCTCTGTCAACCTGAGGTTAGACTGTACAGCAAGCCGTGTGCCTCTCCAGTGGTTTCTTCTTCACTATAATGGCATTCGATACCTCTGTGCAGGTCTCGGAGCAACCTGTGCTCATCTAACACCAGCTAGAAGTGCCTACTGTCCAGGGCTCCCCTTGCCAAGAGAGCCTTTTGTAGATTTTGCACTGCGCAATGCATATAACCGAGTCTATGTACTCAGCCGAAACCACACACTTCAGAGAAAAAGCAGTTGGGGTCCTCTAGTGGCCAGTGCTGGAAGAACGTGCCCAGCGCTTTCTGATGCTTCCCGACAAGCCTTTTATCATGCTATCTCCAGGCTTAAGTCATGACACTGTAGTGGGATCCAGGTAGCAGAGTCTGCAGCCCTCCTGTGGGTCTTCCGTCTTTCCGATCACTGCAGGAACTCCATTAAGGAAAAAGGCAGATTTGTTGCACGATGCCTGCTGAGGAGTTGCACCAGGAGGCCTCCTCCTGGAAGTGCCCAGGGTCTCCTGCTGAGCTCTTCCTATAGTGGGAGAAGCCATCAGTGCTCTTCTATAGGGAGCGGAGAGGCTACAGTCTGTGTACAAGAGTGGGTAACGATATCGGCTCTGTTGGCTGGCCTCCCTCCTTCACTAGCTCTTCCGCATTGTAGCTGCCCTTGAGAATAGCCAGGCGCTGGGCAAACGTCTTTGGGTCGTGATAAAGGATGAAGTTGTACAGCAGAGACGCGAGGACTGCCCCTGCCAAGGGACCCACCCAGAACACCTGCAGGAGGAGTCACAGAGGAACAGGTCACGGGGGGTGGCTGCTGGAGCACGCTGCATTCAGTTACTCCAAAGTGACCCACCAGGCAGCCAGGGAGGAAGCAGAAGAGGGGACAGGTCCTCATTCAGAGGAAGTGATTTGCTCTGAATCCCAATTTTAATGAATTGGGCTTCACCTATCCATTGGTCCCGTGAAGCCCCGTCAGTGGGGCTTAATCCCAGCTAATTCCTGAAGGCCACCACGTGACCTACCACTAGCCCTCCACCAAGCCTATTTCACAGGAATCCTGTGAGAAGAGCAGGATCACAGCCCCATGTACTGTGGGAAGGGTGGAGTGCAGGTGCAGAGGCGCTCAGCTCGGAAAACCTGCTCCTCTCTGTGTGTCTACCTTCCTCGGCTCAAGCAGAAGCAAAGGCGAGTGGAAGAAACTCAGAAGAAAAGCAGCCTACAACTTCTTTTCCCGATGCAGCCACTTTCTTGTGGGTTTTCAGCTGAATCCACCTCTTCCTGGAAAGTTCTAAGATCAGATTTCTCAACAAACTGAACCCCATCTAAATTTGGACCCCTTTTGCAGCAGGCAGTAAATTTTCTTCAATGAAAAACTTGACCCACAGAAACTGCTCCTTCCCTGCTGCTTTGGGGTTCTGACTGAGCCTCTTTCCTTCCACAGACAAAAGCCACCCGTGAGCAGGATAAAGACCTGTTTGCTGTCCCTTCGAGAAGAAAAGGGTGCAGTTATGCTCAGGGCTGCCTAGAAGTGGAAGGAAGCAGCTGGGCAATTTGGCAGGACCACTGCAAAGCCAAGGCAGCCCGGCTCTCAGCTCATGGACGGGCTGTTTGCCCTGGACTTGCTACACTGCTCTCCAGAGCCCCCCACACACAGAGAGCCTCGTAGGGTGCAAAGGCACAGACCCCCTGGCCAGCCTGTCCATACTAACAAAGGAAACAGGTCTCAGGGCAAGCATGATATCTTCTCGAACTTTAATCTTAGGAATGGGCTGAGCAAGGCAGTCATAGCTGCTTACAACCAAAAGGTGGCAATAATTTTCCAGCTTTACAACGGCTCCATCTGGCAGAAGTGCCTCTGCAAAGGCCGCGAGGTAAAACAGCGCCTGATCAACTTCCCGTGCCAACCGCAGCATGGATTTTATGGGCAGAGTCCTGCCAGACAGTTCATATCCATCAGCTGATCAGTGGGATAGAAAAGGGTTAGGTACGCTTTGGGAAACGATAACCAGCTGAAGGCTTTTCAGGATGGGACTGATGAACGCAGGCCAACTGTTTCAGAAAAATGCACTTCATTTATTAAGTGTTGGCATAGGTGCAGCCCAAATGATTTTTGGACTTTCTCCATATGAGTTAAAAATTGTGCAATGATATGAGCTGTTGTATAGATGATGACAATGATGATTCATTAAACTAAATCTTGGAAGAGCATTTTGAAAAGGGTTTGCAATGTTGCTGGCTAGTTCCCTGTGGAACTCCTCCCCAAAGAGGCCGGCCGGCACATACTGCCATCACGGTTGACGCTTCTTCCGCCACCCTCTTTGCCCCGGACGGGCAAGCACAAGGGCTGGGCAGAACTCCCAGGTGCTGACCTCTAGGCAGAATATTTATTCCTGTCTTATAGTATTTCCAGACCCACCAAACTATTCCCCAGGTTGAAAAGAATGTAGCAAAGACATTTTACTCATATGTCTTACTGGGGCTGGGAGTATCTCATCATTCAATTACTTAGTATTATTCATAAAGCAACTGAATCTGTACTAGCGCGATGCATCAACTCCCAGCTAAACAGACTCAGAGGACTAGCAGCCCTTACCTTCCTCAGGGAGAAGGTGGGTAAGATTTCACTCCCTGCCATGGGGCAACATGGGAGGAAGAAACAGAGGGCTTTTCTGTACAAGGTGAGTTTGCAGGCCCCTTAAGTGTTGTGGCCAGCTTCCCAGGCTCCGTTTCATGTTTTCCAGCCAGCTTCACAGCCTTTTTAAAAGAACAAGGAAAATGCAGAATTTTCCTGGATGACCCCATCCTGTACTCACTAAGAAAGCCATGTGGAAAGCCTAAATTCCACCCCATGCCACAGTGCCTTTCTGTCCTGTAATGGAACAGATGGGTGGAGAAAAAGGCAGAGCGGAAACTGCCCCGGGAGGGACTTTGTGTAGAGGATACTCTGGTCTTCCCACAAACAAAATGGCAGAAGCAGCCTGCCTGAAGCACCTACGAAATGCCCGATGCAGAGAAGCCCAGGAAGAAGGCCTTTTACCCAGTGGTTTGGAAACATCCCAACGACAACAGCTGGACCAAAACTTCTGGCTGGATTCATGGAACTGCTGGAGTAGTAATGCTAGAAAGCAGAAAGCAGGAGTCAGAGTCAGGTGTCTCCTGCTGGCTCCATTCCCCATCCCCCCATAGCATTCCCATTTAGCGACGGGCACTGGATGAATCACTGCAGTGCAACATGCTGGAATAGCCTCGGAGTACCCAACACCCCTGCAGCGGGTTCTCACATCCAAATCCCTGTGTTTGCTTGCACACGCGTGCATGAACTCGGATGGACAGTCCACACTTCCAGAAATTTCCTCACTGGGGATTGAAGTTATGGGAAGAGGCGTTCTCCGTGGGGGCCCTCCCTTAGGATAAACTGTGGGGATCGGAGGTGGTAGGAATGCAGGTAGAATCCTTACGTTGCCCCCCAAAAGCACCCTGTAATCATATTGGGGCCCCTCTGGCAATATGGGAGCTCACAGGTGTTTTTATGTTTGTCTGGCAAACGCTGACTCTCCAACCGGCGGTGTGCTCTGAGCCCTCTGACGCAAAGTCCTTGGTATGGTATGGAATCCCAACCAAGCTGGGGTTGGTTCAGCTAGGGATGGGCATCGTTAGGCTCACAGGACCTATGCTGTGCTTTACCAGGACCCCAGTTCTGCCCACCAACAGTGGCTCAAGGAGGCTGACCCAGGATTGCAGAACGGGGGCCTTGGAGCGCAGGCCCAAGCAGGAAATATTTCTCAGGAGCCGAACTGGAGCTTGCACACAATCTGCTGCTATTGCCTGGCAAGCTCCCTAGAATTCTAGCAGCCTAGAAGGTGTGTAATATTGCTACAATTACTAAATGATGAATTGTTCGAAACCTTTGCTGCACAGCACCCAGAGACCTACCAGTTATTGAGGAGGTGTGTGAGCAAGTGTGCCTCAGAGTCACCCAACCCCTGCAAATGCACAGATTTAACACTGTCCCTCTTTAAACTTTTCTGGCCTTTAAACTTTTCTGGCCTTTTGGTTTTAAAGAGAAAACCAAACCTGGCTAGGGGAGAAGCAGTTCAAATCTGTCCCTCCTGGAGTGCTAATCTGGCCCTCAAGAATTTGCTAGAAAGCCGTAACTCTTTCCCTTGGCCACCAGTCCCTTGGTAGTTCTCTGGCTTTTTTATGGAAAGGTTCAAATGCCTCTCCTAAGGCTTGGCTACTGGCAGGAAGAGCCTTAAAGGGAAAGATGCTTGTCCTTTTGGCCTGGCCCGGATGCCTTCTCCCCCTGCCCATCCCAGAACGTCTCTTTTAAATGGGCTGTGAGCTAAACAGAGCTTCTGTATCCCTCTGCTTGGGTTTGGCATGGGTTTACTTTCATGGGAGAGGAGAGGAGGGGAGGGGAGAGGAGAGGAGAGGGCTGTGGGTGTTTCCATATGGATTGCTTCTAGCACTAATAGCACAAAGACGTGCAGAGATCAGAAGACACAAAAGGGTGACAAATTGAAAATGATGCCCTTGAAGCACCCTGTCAAATTCTGTGCATGAGGCAGTGTGATGGCACAATGAAAGCCTTGCCTGGCAGTGCCCTCGGAATAATTTGCACGCTTCTAGCATTTTAGGTGCATTGCTATGCCTGTTTGGACAGGGGAAAAAATCCAACTCCCAGCTTGCCCCAGCTTCAGTCAGTCAGCAGGGGAGAGGGGATGCTTCGCTTGTGCTTTTAATGCACTTACCCCAATTAAGTGGCCCAGGGCAACTGAGACGCCAATCATGATAGCCGGAGAGCCAGTGCTTCGGTGGCTGTCAGTGGATGCAAAATAGCACAGGACCAGCTGCAGGGTCAGGATGAGCTCAACCATCACAGCTTGTGTAAGTGAGATGTTGATCCTCACCTGCATTGGGGGAGAGCACAGTGAAGATGCCTGTAGGGTTTTTATGTATTGAACTGGCGGACTCTCTCCCAGCAGATTGAAAAATAAAACTGGAAAGTAATGAAATACAGTACTATAGTTAAAACTAGATATAAGAAGCTGAGGTTTAAAACAGAATAAAAACAGACTCAGTGTTAAAAGCAGCAGTGGTACAAAGATCTAGGAATGCATCCTGGCAGTATTTTAAAAAGTGATGTGATATTCAGCCTGAGAAAATGAAAAGGGGCTTTGCCTGGTGTGGAAAAGACCACAAAGTAGGTACCAGAGAAACCACTCAGGGGAGGGTATTTCACAACCGGGGTGCCACCACTGAAAAGACCCTTTCCTCAAGAGCTACTTTTTTCCCCTTTATTTGGACAATACCCAGAGGAGGATATTTGGGGCTGCTTTTAGTGTCTGGGCAGGTATATATGGAGGGAGACAGTCCTTCAGATAACCTGGCTGAAAGCTGTTCACAGTTAATGTTGGTGCTTTGAGATGTGCCTGGAAACAGACTAGTGGCCAGCGTAGACCATAAATCACTGACATACTAGGAAAAAATTACCCAGTCCTTGGTAACAATTCCCCTACTCAATTCTGGACCGGCTGAAATTTCTGAACTCTTTTCAAAGGCACTCCCAGATATAACACATTGCAGTGATCCAAAGAGGAGGCTGCTAGAACATGAACCACTCTAGCTAGGTGTAAAGGATACCACTGTGGCAATATACAGAACTTTTCTACAAAAGGTCATTAATCTGATGTATCTGCTTTCAGTTTTGTTGCAAGAATGGAGATCTGAGCTCTGTAAAAGTGCTTCCTTGCCCACTTTTCTGAAATATCGGAAACAGCAGAATAGTGCAAATACACAAGTGAAAAAAGTGAATTCATACTGCAGAGTAATTCAAGATGTAAGTTATGGATATACGGTAATACATTTCCTAAAGATATCACTGTGCCCTGCACTAATATAGTGAAAGAATGTAAACTAAAAGCCCACATTGTGAAAGCACAAATTAATAAATAACACTTATCCAAAAGGTGAAAGTCAAAATAACTAAAACAAAACAAAGACAAACCTTTTGGCTTCCAGCAAGACAGGAACACAACCCATTACACTCCACACCTACTCAGTCATCAAATATATCACAGATTATTAAGTCCAAAATACCATTAATTAACACTGTCCAAATAAACAAAACAGATGGGGGCGGGGGAGAAGGAGAGAGAGAGAGAGAATGCACACATAATGACAAGCCATTCATGGTTTCATGGTTTCCAGCATAGCTTGTCATTATGTGTGAATGTGGCCAGAGGATAAGGGATTGCGGGGGGGGGGGGGGGGGGGTTTAAAAAAAAAAGGGGAAAAAAGGGGGGGTGAAAAATAACAAAACCCCCAAAAAATAAAAAGAAAACGAAAAAGCCCCAGGTTTCCCCAAA